GAAAATAATGGAGCTTAGCATCTGACATCTATTGATTTCTTGCAATAAAAAATAGCTATTTGTTCTCTTTAGTGAGTTATTCTTTTGAAAAAGATGAAAAAAATGATTACGATTGGATATAGCAGCTACACAAAAGGGTGAAAACTATGGAGAAGAATGAGGCTTGAATTGGATCCGACGAGAAGGAATAAAAGCTTCTATTCCTGCCCGAATTCAGGAGGTTGCGTAAGAGGCACATTTTTCAGCTGAGAGGGAAAAGACATCAAACCAAGGACCCCCTAAAAGAAAATTACGAATAGAATCCCAGTCAGCTTTAGGGTAGAAGCAAGTAGTGCAATAATAGAGTAAGTCCGAAAATGAAGTACAAGATGAAAGATTTAAAGAGACCATTGCATGGTCAGAACCACATAAGGGAGAAAAAGGAGAAACTAAATACAACCTAGGATCAGAACCCTAGGTTGTGTTTGGTTTCTCATATAAATCAAGGAGTTCAGGATTAGGGTTGTCAGGAAAACGAGTCACAAAGTTAACTATCTGAGTAAGAGATTTAGAAATGCAGAAGGTACAGTCTTTAGTGCCAAGCAGGGTCAGTGGCGTTGTAGCCAAGCCATTTAGTGTAATGAGCATAAAAGTTACCAATAACAACAATATTGGCAGAGGGTTAAAGAGAGAGGGCATGGTCAATTTGGTCCGAAATTACATAAAAAAGAGTGTATAAAGAACAAAGAGAAAGGTGATAGGGTGAAGAGATTCTATGCGGAAGCACATAAAAGAATAGTCAAAGGGTTCAAACCTGATTTCACGAAAAATAGGTGAATTGATCCGTATGTGTACACCCAAGCCAAGTATGTGACTATTGGAGTTTTTGCAAATCAAAGGATAGTACCCATCAACACTAAGACCAGAAAAAGTAGTAGAAGAATTTAAATTAGTTTCATGAAGAGCAAGTCTGGTGAATTTTACAAGAGATAAGATTCAAATAATGGAATTTTGCTTCGCAGACCACGAATATTAGTAAAAGATATATTAAAACTGTTAGATGGTGGGGATGGTTTTTTATTTTTGATACTTTAGGCTACTTTTGACATGATTTAAGTTTAGAGAGAACTTGACTCATTCCTAGATAAAGAACTTAACTCATTTGTTAGAGAAAAGGGAGAGCATATGTTTTATAGTTGGAATGTCTAGTTGGTTAATGAGCTCACACTGCATTTATTTGTTTATTTCGTCATTAAAAAAAGAATACAATGTGTGTTATATAAATAAAATCTACATTACCAGGGCTCATGACACATAAAAATATTGAGATGTTAAAATTAGTATGTGTTGTATAAGAATTTTGGATTTTGTTATTTTTTCTTTTTCACTTTCTTGTCAAATATGTTTAAAACATATCGATAAAATTTGTTGAGTTAATTATGAGATGTTTAAGGTTTTTCTTCAAAGTATAAAGATTTCCAAATTACTAAGTTATATATTTTGGAGTATGACTTTGTTATATAGGAAAGGGCCACGGTATACAGTTGCATATTGCGACATTTTTTTTTTTTTTATAGGGAACGTGAAATTTCCCGTTTCTCTTGTAGAATACTTATTAGCGTTAATTTGAAAAAAGTTATCAGAAAAATAATTTGGAACTAGTCCAAGTTTGTATTTCAACATAAATAAAATATTTTGGTATATATTAATTTGATAGATGTTTAGTGCGTTTAAAGATTTAAGTAAAGGATCGGCATGAGTAAATTTATTTTTATTATAAAGCAGTGATGCATGTTTTTGATGCACGTATAGATAATTTAATTTAGATTTATGTGTGCTCCCCCATGCAATGATAGCTTAATTTAAATAACTTTGAATATAAGAAAAGTAGAGAATTTTAAGATTTGATTGTGAGAGCATTGTTTTAGTTTTATAAAGAACACCTATGTTTTTTGATATTATGTAATTAATTGTACTTATATGGGCCTTCCAGGAAATCTTCTTATCAATAATTATTTCAAGAAATTTAGTTTTTTCAGTTTTTTTAATGCATATGTTATCTTTTTTTAATGATAGTAAGATTAGTGGTATATTATTTTTCTGCTGGTTAGAATGAAACAAGATATATTTGGTTTTTTCTGTATTTAAAGATAATTTATTTGCCTTGAACCAGATGTTGAGATTTTCAAGATCAGCGTTCATTGGTTCATAAAGTTCTTTGATGGATGACGATGAATAAAATAGATTTGTGTCATTGGCAAACATAATGACATCAAGTTTTTTAAGGCTTTTGGAAGATCATTGATATAAATTAGAAATAGAAGGGGACCAAGAATGGAACCTTGAGGAACTCCGTATTTTATTTCTAAAAGGTTTGAATATTTGTTATCGTCTGAAATTACGCATAGTTGTCTGCCACATAGGTAGCTTTTGAACCAATCAAGATTTATATTTTTTATTCCATATTTTTTCATTTTTTTTAGTAATATATTATGATTGACAGTATCAAACGCTTTTGATAGATCTATAAAGGTTCCTAGCCCAAATTGGTTTTATTGAATGAATCACTTATGGTTACTAGATCTAGAATTACATGTTCGGTCGAGTGTTGTGTCTGGAAACCAAATTGCTTTTTATTTAAGAATTTGTTTTGAGTTAGATAATTATATAATTTATTGTAGATTATTCGTTCAAGTAGTTTAGAGAAAGTAGGAAGTATGGACATTGGTCTGTAGTTATTTAAAGATGATGTTTCACCGGTTTTAAGAATGGGTACAATTTTAGCCTTTTTTAATTTGTCCGGTACAATTCCTTCCTATATAAGTAACCAACGTATAAACCAACGCCGCGCCAGAGGTTTAGACAGAACACAAACATAAATATAAACATAAATAGACACAACGCAAATATAAAAATAGCAACTTAAGGGTGAGCCAACACCGTGCCAGTGGTTCAGACAGAACACAAACACACAGATAGCAACTTAAGGCGAGTTTCCACTCATCCGTTTTTTTACGAAAACGGGAATAGGACGGGAAAAATAATCACGCGGGCATGCGTAGTATAAGTTTTAATATATCCGAAGGAAAACTACGCAAGCTCACGTGATTATTTTATCCTTTCCTATCCCGTTCCCGTGAAAAAACGGATAAGTGGAAACTCACCTTGATTCTGAACCAGACTCGGGTGAACCGGAAAAGCGCACAGCAGCCGACAATCTGAAAAGACGTCACTCTAATAGAGATCTTATCTACGTTTTCCTTTCAGGGAGGACTATAGATAGATATTTAAAAACATTTTACCTCAATCTCCTAATGGCGGCAAATTATTTTCTCAATAAAGACGCTAGTTAAGTTGTTACCATTGCCATAGACCAAAGCTGCTGGCTAGAAATTGTACGATTTTAAGGGTACTTCTCATTCAGGATCTGAGAGTTCAGTAACCGACGAATTCAAGCTGAAATGTTTAACGATGTTAGTGGACTCTACTGTGGATGTAGTCAAAGGTGCTACTGATTTTTGAATGTCAGACCGTTCCGGAGATTGTAGCATATTGTTAAAAATGCTGTTGAGGACGAAAAAATTTTAAAAAATGTTGCGCCCTTGTAATACAGGGCATCGATCATGTTATCGATAAGGTATTTCGTGACACCGAGCAGAGAATAGGAGTTCAGAAACTGTCGGACATATCAGCTGGAGAGAAAACATTCACGTCTCCGTTAACTTCAATACACACTCTCGGACAAATTGCCATAGCCAAGTTACTAAATCAACGAACCGATCAATGAAATTTCATAATAAAGTCTGAAGATAGCTCAATCAATCAGCGACGACGTATAAAACTTGATTCTGATAAATTTTAAATGGTGAATTTTACAATAGGCAAACTAAGATGTTACATTCGCAACGCAATAAAACCTGAAAATGAACTCTTGAACAACATTTATACACTACTCTGTGAAGAGTGATGACATGTAAATATTTGTTCATGTGATTAATGATATTAATTATTTAAGTAGTCCGAGCGTACAATTTTTAATCAGCTTGCAGAATTCTTAGCTCATTCAGTTGATTTGTAAGTCGGGTTACAAAATCGTCTATCGAACATTGTATTGGCACCTCGTCGTTTTTAACAGTAAAAAAATCCAGATTATTACGATATCAGGCTTGTTACTTTGCATGCATGAAACGACTAAATGAATTGCAGAAATGTATTCAGCAACATCGAAATTCTATAAAAGAGATGTTGGAAGTCATGGTAGTGGTTTCAGTACTTGAAGTTTAAGGCAGTAACTATGTTTGGCCGCCATCTTGAACAAAATGCACTTTCCTAAACCTAAATCGTCATGCTAGCTGCAATTTTTTACTAGAATCGAATTCTACGTCAAATTTCGCCTCAAACACTCGTTAACTTGAACTTTTTGAAAAAAGTTCATGTTGTCAAAGTCTGCCTTATCTTAAAATTATGATTTTAATTACATTAAATATAAATGTAAAAAACCATGAAAAAAAAATGTTATTTGAAAACATCTTTAAAAGGGTTGCCTCATTTTTCAATTGCAAAGCTTGCGAATATAAATTAATCAATAGTCAATAATAATCTAAGATTATCTGCGAGTAAAAATTATTTTTTATCTCAGGTTAAAAGATTTATTGTTTTGTATCTAGTTATTCAATTTGTTTAAGTTAAAAAAACGTGATTTTAAAGGATTTCAAGATATTGTGATAAAATTTTTTTTATAAGATAAAAATAAAATTTACAGAAATTTAAACTTGATATCTACATTTTTGCATTTGTCGACGTTTCTATTATTTCTAGGCCGAAACCCTCTGATTATAAAAAAAAGCATTTTCTTGATAATACTATAGTAAATTGTATATAATACAATGTAATTATAACATCTTTTTGTTTTTTAAATTAAAATTTGAAATCAAGAAGTAAGGAAAAATTAAAGTGTAGCTAAATACTATAATTAAAATACAATAAAAGATGCGAGAAAATAAAATAAAGCAAAACTAAAA